TGGCAATTTTGTAAACTTTAGGAAAACTACTATGGAAAACTTCTGTATCCAAAACACATCTTTTAATTCTAGGATAAATCTGGGATACATTTTAAAAGAATTGTATGCTTTATATCGCTATTTATCCGGAAAGATATTTATTACAATTTGATGGGTTATCTGTACGTACAATATCTCCAGAGAATAATTAGTTTTGTGAGTTAAGAGAGGGAGAAAAAGAAACGCTTGAAAGTTGTTTAACAAATATTTGACTCGTGGGCAGCCGCCAGAAATCTCTCCAACAAACAACACGGAGAACACTCCACAGGGTGTTACATATATATAGTCCACCCCCCACACACTCTCTCTCTCCCTCACTTTCTCTATTTCCCCCCCTCCCCGTCTATCTATCCTGCTCTCCGTATCTCTTTAGCCAGCCCCCTGGGTGCCATTGCCCGTCCATTAGTTTTGTGTGTTTTTTTGTTGTTTTTTTTTTGTATGTTTTGGCCGTGTGTCCTTCCTCTTTTTTTGTTATAGTTGTCGGCTGTTTGTCAAAGCGGCCGTGGAAAAGTGGATGCGATGGACAGACAAGGCACAGAATAGTAGAATAATACAGGGGAAACCATGGACGAAGATTAGGTACTCTTCATCTGAGGATGGATCCCAATGGAGGTTCCCTCCATTCAATATTGAAAGATATTTTCTTCAATATCTGATAGTCAAATTCAAGTTCGGGGACCCAAGCCCAAGTCAAGCAGAAAGTCCACGTACTCCCCTCGCTAAAAGAGAGAGTGAGAGAGAAAGAGTATATCTTTTCCTTTTGACAGATCTCTGTGCCTGTTTATGCAAAATACCAAAATTGCGATAACATCTGGCTGGATGGCAGTTTGAGGAGGAAGCCATAACCATAACAGGAGAAATTTCCCCTCCTTTCGTCTCGTTTTCCTTTCTTTCCAACTGAATGGATAAGTGTCCCCACCTGAGTCCGGACCTCTCCATCCCCATCCCCATACCCGTGCCGATCCCCATCCTCTCCAGTATTTAGACACTCAAGGCGACTCTTTGCAAAATGGTAGCAAATTTTCATTAGAGCCTGTGGAAAGCGGTATCCATCTTTGATGGATAACTCTCGCAGCTGCTGGAGACGCTACCCGCCAGTCGGAGGATAATTGCAATCCGAGCCTGGAGCTCATTTTAGTCCCCCTACTCCTTCCCCGCCCCCACCCCGCCCGTCGCCGCTCTGCCACCACTGGCGACGCTCCTTTGTTTATTTTTATTGGCCAAAAGAAATTTGAAACTTTCCGGTGACCCCTCTTGGAGCACCTTGAGGCACCTGGGGCAACTTAAGAGCTAATAACAAAATACCAGGCAATGAGCCGGGACCCGGGACCTGGGAGCTGGGACCCTGTGCCCGAGAGCAAGTGCAGCATAAGGTTACCCCAACTGCCCCCCCGTGTGGCACGAGGCTCGAGTGGTGGATGATGTAAAGAGGATAACTAATATAGCAATCAGAACTGCCTCGTGCCGTGAAGAGAGCGATTTAATTACACCAGACAGCCGAGCAAACAGTATCTCCAGAATGTGTTCAGAATATCTGTACATTAATGGGAATAAGTATCTTATAGATACTCGTAGACTACCGGGTTCCAAGAGGACACATTTGGACACGGTCCTTAAAGCAGAGACCAATCGCCCCGATTATCGATAGTCGATAACAAGTCTATTCGCTTATGGGAAATTGTGATCCGGTTGGCTATTTTGTGGAACGAGGGTTGACTGCAGTCCTCTCTTTAATGACCTTTTCTCACTCGATGGGATCCCTGCAATCCTGTGGACCAGTGTTCCACTTGAGTTCAATTCTGCTGCGTCGCCTGCTGCTGCTGCTGCCGCTGCTGCTGCTGCTGCTGCACACCCTGGCTGCTCTGCTCTGCCGCTGCCGCCGCCGCCGCCGCGCCCATCACTTGACCCAGCTTAGGGGGCGGCGGCTCAATAACAAATGCAAATGCACTTCAGCCGGCCAAAGAGAGACAGAGAAACAGAGAGAGTGAGATGGAGAGAGGGAGAGGCAGAGAGAGAGAGAGCGGGGTGCCGGCTGAAAGGTGGGGGTGCTGTGCGTAAGTAAAGTTTTCAAGTGCAACGCGCAACAACAACAAAAACAACAACAAGGGCAACAGAAACAGCCGTGGCAGCGTGAAAACGGCAGCAGCAAAAGCCAGCTGCGAATGCGACGCTTTAAGAGAGACGCCACTTTACGAAAAAACAAAGAGCGCGCACCTTTCTGCGCAAAAGAGAAGCCACAAACGAAGGCAAGAGAGCCTGCACTCTCTATCTTGTCCAGCAGAACAACAAATAAATAATAGAAAAACCGAAATAAAAGTAAATAACAACAAAAGATAAGAAAGATTAGATGAACAAAACTAGAAAGAAATTCAAAGAAGAGAGCGCAAAAAAATGAAGGGGACCCAGCCGCGGCTCCGCTCATTTCAGTTCTTCTCCGCACCGAAGTCGCATAGAACATAGCGTGGCAGCGACGCCGGCGTCTGCTACTATTTTGCGCATTTCATTCAGTAGCAGCGGAATGAGAGAGTAAAACTCACCGATCACTGGATACCCTACTCTTAGCCTATCTCGAAAAAAAGTCCCCAAAATATGCATATCGAAAGAATTTATTATAATTTACATACATATGTAAGACATCTGGTAATTGTAATGTTTGTCTAATGTCTACATCCGTCCCGCAGTATAAAACGGAAATTGCCTTTTTCGCAATATTAGTGGTTTTCACACGAAGGATTGACTACCCTGTCAATATTAATCTCTCAAGTGGAAGCTAAACGATTATGGTGTAAAAATATACTCAACTGCAATTTTTTCGAGTTGAGTTCACAATCACTCTTGGGGCGAAAGGTCGCGTCAATCGTATCGAATGAGTCTGCTACACTTGTACAACGTAATCGTGTCATGTATAATAGGAGATCTAGGGTTAAAGATAAAGGTGGCTAGATGCTAATTATTCGATCATACCCGCATATGGCTTTTCTAGGGCTAACAAAATCCATTCGACTCGCCTACAACCAACCCATTGCGTATTCGTGCATACGCACTCGCTGGAGGCTAGACAAATCGAAGAGTATCGCTTGGCTGCGCTGCCGGCGTCACTCGGTCTCCACACAGCTTCCGCTGGCGGCGTGCTTTCGCCTGCACGCTTTCGCCTTCTCCTTCGCCGTCACCCTCTCTGTGCGTGGTCTCTTTCGCTTCGTGGTTTTTTCCCACTCGCTTCTTCGGCCGCTCTCTGTCATTTGCTCCCGCTGCTTCTGCTGCTGCTTCAGCCGCCTCTGCCAGAGTGTACCTATTTAAGGTGAGACCAGCTCTGCGTGCGGTCTCCTATTGCTTACCTAATTCTAACAATCGTATGCGTTTGCTTATGGTCTTGAATCTGTATGTTAACCTGTGGGGATTCATTAGATCATGTGCTATTGCGTCTCGTGTTTTGAGTGTGTCCGCGTACAGGTTGAGATAAAGAGAGTCAGAGAGAGAGAGAGATAGAGAGAGAGTGTGTGATAACAACCTAGGCCAGCTGAAGAGCGGAATGACCCCACCGTGTATGGATATACCATGGACTCTGCCAGCTGCTTCTGCCCGCTGCCTCTGCCTGCTGTTCTAGTCCCATATCGTTTTGGCGCTGGCGCTGGCGCTGGGCGCTGCTTGGGCTTCTGTTCTGTCCCTCTGCTTAATGTCGTGCGGTCGCTGCAGCTGTGAGCATCGCACGCGTTTACCGCTACACGCCAGAAATTCCTTTTTGCTTCCGTCGCCGTTGCCGTCGTCTTCGCTCCCGTCTCTGTGTAGGCGCGCGCGCTCGTGCTCTCGTGTGTCTCTGTGTGTGGATGTGAGACAAAAACCAAAAAAAAAAAAAAAAAAAAAAGAAAAATTACATTATTATTAAGTATTTTTTTGACAATATTTTTTGCAAGTGTTTGAAAAATTACATAAAAAAGCAGTGCCAAAAACAGTTATCCAGCAGCAGCAGCAGCAGCAGCAGCAGCGACAGAGGCTGAGCTGAAGCGGCCACAGAAGCAGCACTCAAATCAAAGCAGCAGCCGCCGCAGCGGCGCAGCAGCAGCAACAGCAACAACAACCAGAGAAGCCGCTTATCAAATGCCGCGACCGCGACGTCGACGACACACGCCGCCTGCGTGAGCGTAAGCGTACGCGCGTGTGTGTGTGTGTGTGTGGTGTGTGTGTCAGCGGGAGAGATTGCCTCTGTCTGCGTGCTTGCGTGTGTGTGTGTGTGTGTGGGTGGCCGGGTGAAAAGTTTTTGAACTGGCGGCCAAAGGTGACGACGACGCCGCCGCCGACGTTGCCGCAGCGCCGCGTCAAAGGCGCAGCCAGAGCCTAACGCCAGCCGCAGCCGCAGCAGCAGCAGGAGAAGGACCCGCAGCGGGAAGAGAAGTAGCCGGTGGATCAGTCCGCTCAAGAAGAGTAATCCCCGCAGCAGCAGCAACCACTGTTGCCGCAGCCACACAGACAACAACTGCAGCAGCGGCATTCCGATCGCGCCATTTGCTCAAGGCCACCGCCAAGGTAAAGAAGAAGAAAAAGAAGTGGAAGCAAATAAGCTTCGTGGATGCATCGCCTGCAGCAACAGCAGCAGCAGCAGCAGCAGACCACGCAACAGCAGCAGACCTCGCAACAGCAGCGACGATCCAGCTGCAACGAAAACGTTCCACCTGCAGTGCACCACCGGCTTTGGGCGGACAAAGTCCCCAGCCCCCGCCGCATCTAGCTGCCCGCCGACTGAGCAAATTCCTGAAGCAGACCACCAAAGCCAGCAGAGCAGCACCCAACAACAACGGCAGCAGCAGCGCAGCAGCTGCACTGGCAGTAGCAACGGGCGGAGGAGGAGCAGTGAAAGGAGCAGCAGCGGCAGCAGCAGCAGCAGCGACTGGACGTCGCAAATCCTCTGCTGCCTCGATTATCGCAGCAGCGGGACTCGATCTCTGCAATCTCTCGAGTCGCCACAGCAGCAGCGGCACAACGGGGACTGGGGGAACAGCGGGAACCGAGGAGAATTCTACCACCCTAACGGGCGGTGTGGGAGGAAGCTCCCTCAACAACAACAACAACAACAACAGCAGCAGCGGCAGCGGCTGTGGCAGTGCCACCGGAGCTACCGGCAATACCTCAACGTCGACGTGGTGCGGCAGCATCAATTTTCTTGTGTATATGGTGTGCTCCTTCTGCTGTTGTTGCTACAATTTTCGGAATTCGCCCTCAAGGTGAGTGAGTACAATCGAATTCGAATTCGTCTTCGAATGAGGATCTATTCGAAGATCTACCCCTAGGAAATTCCGTTTGAATTCCAGTTGCAAATCCATGAATATTTTCTAAATGCAGTGTTGAATCGATAATATCTCTAGCCAGGAGCCCCTCTATACCCGAATAATTTTGTGCCCAATTTTTATAGCAGATCTCTCCTATATCTATGACTATCCATCCATGTTATGTATGTATATTCTTTAATTATTTGTTAATGTATTAATTGTATTCATTATATGCCTGAATATCAATGAAATATTGTCGGTATTTCCAGCTCGATTTCGCCTAGAAATCCCGACTATCCTTAGAGAATGGATTTTCATTCTTGTTTTTTTTTTGTTTAAGGGCAATTATAATCTCGGGGAATAAATCAGTAATTTCCATATCTATTATTAAATCAGAATTATATTCTTTGACAAAATTGAAAAGGTTACATTCATTATCTGTGCCGAGTATTCCTGAATGTGGATTCATTATAGACATGAAACCTTTTCGTTGTCAGATCTGTCCCATTCTTTTTGTATCCTCCCCACAGAACCCCCGCCAACCAAGCGATCCGATCCACTCTCCGATATCTATAATTAAGTTGTTAGAATTCTATTCATAAACTCGGCTACCCAAGCATTCCATTACCTTCCCTCCTCCTGTGTGAGTGTTTCTGTGTGCCATTTGTTTAATAAAGCATGACCTACGGATGGTTAGTGTACCGGAGAGGGGAATAGATCCCCTCCACTCATGAACATGCAAAGCTTCGCTTATCTACAAAAAAAAAACATAAAAATAGAGATACACGAAAACAGAAATGAAAGAAAGAATGAAAAAAGAATATACAAAAGCAGCAACAAAATTGCAAGCAATTTGGCGGGAGAGATTATTATATATAGCGCACGATCGCATGTGGCATACAAATGTGGAATGAATGATACACGGGAGGAGGAGGAGGAGGAGGAGGAGGATCGAATCAAATGTGGATTCACTCGCAAAGTGGCGGTGCTGGCGGTGGATATCTCGTGATTTGGATTGTTTAATGAATACGTACATATAATGATGCATGTCCGATTATATATCTTCAACAAAAGTATGCTCTAAATAACGGCATTGCTCCCACGTTGATGCAACAGAGAGTACTCGTGAATAGTGAAGAAAATAACCTTGAAATAATAAATTGTACTCGCTCAAAGTCAATGCCTCCACAAGAGAGATTGAAGTAGTCAAATCTTTTCCTTTGAGAGAAATTTAGACCCGGAAACGGAGAGCCGATACTCGTTTTGATATATTCGGAATTGGAATCAGGGTATCTCAAATTGCAAAATCCTTCTACCCATGCCTGCCCCCACTCCATCTCCATCTCCCAACAAGTGGAGACATTTGTATGTCTCTCTCTCCCGCTCCCGCTCGCTCAATCCGTAGCATCAAAGGTCCAACCGAGCCGCCCACTAATCCACATAGCCATAAGCTGTTTGCTATGAAACCCACTTGGGACTAATTATTGCCCTGCCATTCCCACATCCACCCAAAATCCATCTTCCCCCAAACGAGACAAAGGGGAAGAGAGAGAGAGGGAGAGAGAGAGAGAGAACTGTCGTCACACATCAAGTGTTCGTCGGAGTGGGGTAGGTAGGGGGTGTGAGGGAGAAAGAGAGAGCCTGCTCAGGTGCCGCCGATGCCGGAGGCGGGAAAGACTGGAACAAAATTGTGGCTGCTTCTGCTTTTCCTTCTTCTTCGTCTTTCTCTTAAACATCTCGTTCTTCTTTTGCTTCGTCTTTCTCTTCTTCTTTGGCAATCAAATTTTTAGGCGCAGATTGGAATGCTGGTTGTGTGGGGGCGAGGTCAAAGTTCAAGGTTGCCCCCGCTACCCTAACATGAGGGTGGTATTCCCATTCGTTTGTCTCTCTCGCACACACTCCGCTCCTCACCCCAATGGCTATTAATTGCTTAAAATGTAAATCTTTTAAAGAAAAAACATCAAAAACAACAAAGATGAAGGCGGAGAGGCAGCAGCAGCAGCAGCAGATGTGTCGCCTATGCTTTTCCTCCTTAAACACTCCTTCTCCACCCACTCTTTTTCTCTGTCTCTCTCTCGCTCTGTCTCTCTTTTGTTGACACTCGCTGTCGCTCTTACTCTGCGGCTGCCCTGCTCTCTTGTGACGTCGCTGCCGGCTGCTGCTGCTGCTGCCTGCTGCTGTCGCCACCGTTTTGGTCCGCAGGGGGCCGGTCCCCGGATCGGGTCCGGCAGGTGCCGTTTGTTTTGTGATAACAGTACGCGGGCAGCGTCAACGATCACTGTTGCTGTTGTTGCCGCCCGCTGCCGACGCGCTCGCTGTCGCTTCTTTTTTGCTGATAAGAATCTGAGAGTCGGCATCGCTTTGTAGGTGCTGCATTGGTGCCGGTGCCGGTGCCCCTGCCCACCTGGCACCCAACACCCCACCGAAAAGCAAAAAAATACTGGGGCTGCGTTTTTTTTTTTATCGCCCGCGATAAACGTTGTCTAAGAAGCAGGAGGGTAGCAGGCTAAGGAGAGGGAAAAGAGTCAGCAAAACTGGCAACCGAAAGATTAGCGATTGGTGCAGTGGCAAAGGCAGGGGGGGAAGAGCAACAAAAATGCAGAAGAATGTGGGTTAGAGACGGGCAAAAACAAACGATATTTAATAATCGTTAATTAATCGATTTGATCTCTAGCTAAACTTTTCCTACCTACGAGACCTCATTTAAGAGCAAATTCTGGTTTTTCTTATACCAAAACATTCATCAAAATGTTTCATAAGATATCTTTTAAAGATTCTAGCAGTTTTTAAAGTTACGTGTTTAAAGTTTTTCTCAAAATTGGAACAAAATTCGTGCTGTGGAAGGTTTAAACCATCGAAAGATGGTTCTCTTCGACTAAAGGCGAAGTTTCCCCCAAGAGACCTTTATTCTGAAATACTATTCCATCCGAGGTATTGTCGATGATCGAAACCATCCACAATATTTATATTTTCCCATATACCTTAATCTTAACCCTTGTGCGCTGAACTCCTCCGCCTTAAGGAGGTCATGACGGAGCTAGAATATTATTTACTCGAAACTTAGGCATAAATCACACAGCTACATTTATTCTTCCAGTATCATTTGTTTCTCCTCCACTCAACGCCGCTTTTCCACTGTTTTCCCTATATTCCCCGTGGGATAATTCAAAGTCACGTTTTTGTTGTTTCTTTTTGCGATTTCGGTTCCTCCCACTGTCCCCAAGTCGTCCGTCGGCTTGTGTGCGTGTGTGTGAATCCCACTTGATCCATCTGTTGTCCCCATGCGTCCCACTGCGTGTGCGTCTGTGTGTGTATATGCGTGTTCCTTTTCGAGTCACTGTAAGCTACGGCGCCGCGACACTGTCGCTGCCGCTCTGTCTGCTGGGGTCCGGAGTCCCTTCTCTGCCTGTAATTGGATTTCCGCTGTTTGCCAAAGAGAGCCAGAAAGAAAGAAAGAGAAAGAGTGAGAGAGTGAGCAATAGCAGCGCACCCACCGGCAGTGCTAGTGGCAGTGGCAGCGGCAGCTGTTTGATGATGGATTTGCAGCCGCCGTCGCCACCGCCGTCGTCTCATTACAATCAAGGTGTATTCGTAAAAGGTGAGGACTATTCTCGCTCCTCGAATGTCACACATTTCTTTCTGTCACTCTCTCTCTCTCTCTCTTAATCGGAGTGCGTGTGCATGCACTGAAATCGAAATGTGGTATCGTGGTATCGCCCCTCACCTTGTCTTGAATACACCTTGATTATAACTTTCAATTTCAATTGCCAAATGCGCTTTGCTTCTCCCCTTTGCTTTCCCCCCCGCCAGCGGGGGGTAACCTCTCTCATTAGGCATGGCTACCTATACAAGCCACCCCCCCACTGCCTGGCGGCTTACTTACAGCCTGACACGCTCTCACGCATTGCGCTGGCTGGCTCTCTCAAGCTTGCCTCTGGTCTTGCTCTCTCGTTCGCTCCCTCGTCTGTGTGTGTGTGGATGTGTGTGTTGGGTGCCATGCCGTGCCTGTTCGCCTTCGCCTCAATTCGTTTTTCGCATCGTTTTGCTGCTGCTGCTGCTGCTGTTGGCTGTTAGCTCAGTGGGGCAGCTCTGCTCTGTTTTGCTCTGCTCGCGTCGTCGTCGTCGTTCATGTTGAACGGTTCTCGGCGTCGTCGTCGTTTCGGTTTTCATCATATAACGTAAAGGCACTTCGGGCGTGCGGCGCGGCGCGGTGGTTCGTGTGTCTCGCGCTCTCCTCAAAAAACAAAAAAAAATTGGTGTGCTAAATATTCTAAATCGCAAATTAAATTCCCAATAAAGAATTAGTGCGAAAAATCAGCGAAAATCTAATTGAAATGTAACGGGAAAAGTGTGCATAATAACAAGCAAACAAGAAGCAGAGCCAGCGCCAACCAGCAGCAACGAACGGACAAGTGCAAAAGGCGAAAGGCAAAAAACAAGTGGAACAGAGACAAATAAACAAAACGCAGCAGCAGCAACAGAGACAGAGACAGCAACAACAATAAGAACAGTAGGAGCAGAAGCACCAGCAGCAGCGCTGCCAGCGTGAGAGAGTGAGAGTGAAGCTCAGCAGCAGCGAGAGAGTGCTGCTGCAGTACCTACATACCTGTGAGTGCGGTGCGGTTGGCAGAAAGGGGAAGTGTGTTATTCTTGTAATGTTGTGTTGTTGGAGCAGTGCGCGGTATCGTGAGAGGATCATCGTTTGATAGGAACAAACGTGAACAGGAGCGGCAACGTGAGTGGGAGAGCCGAGCGTGGCTCAATGAGAGGCTTGGTTGGCAGAAGGCAGCTTTAGCTTTAGCGGTATCGTGAATGAGAACAGAGACAGCGTGAGAAAGAGAGAGAGCAACAGCGACTACAGTGGGACGCTCGCCCGAAAATTAATTAGAAAAATAAAAAAGCAAGAACAACAGCACCGCATGGCACAATTTGAATGTTTTTCAATTAATTGTGCGATAAAAGAGAGTGGAAAAGCGGCGAGAATATCGGTAGTCGAAGCGTGTCATACCCTTTGCTGATCCTTCCATATATGCATACATTCATTTGTTGTTTTAGTAGACTAATTATGCTAGCTCTTACGAAACACATGAATAAAACAAAAATTGATAATATAGTGATTCCACAATTGCAGTTCCAACATAAATTCTGTCTGGCATACCCGTTTTGAGGGTATCAAAAGTTTTGCCGGCTGCTTGTAGACGTCGACGTCGCCGCTGACTGTTGATTTTTATCGCCAGCTGAAAAAGCGAGAAGGCAACAACAACAGAAGAAGGAAAGAGCGAGAGGCAGAGGCAAAGGCAGAGGCACTTTTGCCTCGAAGCTCAATGAAAAATCTTCGAGACGGTGGCCCGCAAAAGTAAATGTCTAAAACATGTGGCTGTGTACATATGTATGTATGTATGTCTGTCTGTATGTATGCGTTCGCCGCTAAATTGGCAATGGGCGTACGCAAACGTGTCGCGTGCCTTGTTATTTGCGTCCTGCTGTGTGTGTGTGGCCCACTGTGCGTGCGTGCTTGTGTGAGAAATGGGGCAACGTAGCTGCTGCCTGCTGATAAGAAATAATAGAATGAAGGGATAAATATCGATAAGAAATGAGATTGAAAGAAGGGGAATACGAAACGATAGGAACGATTCTAGAATTCAAGAAAGATATTTTTTGATGGAGCCATCCACCGATCACTAAGGATTAATGGCTGAAAAAACGGGGAACTTTCCCCATATATTTCCACTTATTTGAAATATGTACATGTGTATCATTGCTCCATCTCCTTATCCACTCAGCGTCTTCCACTTCCACTTCTACTTCCACTTTGTGTTGTGCTCCTCTTTTTCTGTTTTTCAAGTTTCTGTGTTGTGCTGTGCATTCAAACGAAAACGAGAACGAGAACGAAAATCAAATCAAATCAAATTGAATTTACAACAGGAGCCTGGCCTGGGACTTACTGTCCTGTCCTGTCCTCGCCTCGTTCTTCAAGCCCTCTCTCTCTCTCTCTCTTCCTCTCTATCTGCGCCTTTCGCTCATTGAACACACGTCCCTTAATGCGACGTTGCCGCTTTTCACTAAAAAACTTAACTCCATCTCTCGGCCATCTCGCGTTGATTTCAAAAATGAAATGTAATTTACCACAGCCCGAACCCGGCGCCCCCCCCCCCCCCCACTCGGTCCAACATTTATTCTATTTATTTGCGAGGCAATCTATTTGCTGCTTGGCTTGTTTTTTGGACGTTTGCGCAAATCAAAATCAAAACGTAAATTGCTTTACATAAAATTCAACAACTTTTACGAACCTAAACAAATCGCAAAAGTTTTCATGAAGATGAAGTACGGCAACACTGCAGTTCTGTGAGTCTCCTGCGGGTGCGAGGGGGAGACGTTCGGTGCGGTTTTGCTGCACAGTGGGTGGGCCAATCGTTGGATAATGGATAATGCTCTGCCCGTCTGCTGTCTGCCGCCTGCCGCCTGTCACATGTGAAATGATTATAAGCCGGTCCCACAGTCACGTACCAGTCATTAATAAAAGAGAGGGAAAGAGCGAGAGCGACAACTAATTGGAATTCCAAAGCGTCTCGTTTCCCATCTCTCCCGCTGATGATCGTGTCCACTGTAATGTCGCTGTAATGCCCGCGACTGTGCTGGTCCCTCCCTGTGGGTGTGCGCCGATGCTGATTGGAGAGAGACACTGCAAGTGTTGTAGCCTCGCTCTCTCTCTCTCTCTCTCTTCCTTCGCTGACGCCGAGCATGCTCTGCACGACACTGGCGTGGAAAAATATAGAGCAAGGTTCAAGTGATCGTGGAGGCGCCGGCGCCGGCGCCAGCGGCGTCACCGCCGTCGCAGCTGTTCCATTATCGTTCATTATTTTGTTTTGAAGAGCCCTTGTGTGTCGTAGTAGTAGCTGTTGTTGTCGTGGTTGTAGAGGGTTTATTTCCATTTGAATATTGATTTATGAACGCGACTGTTATACAGATTTATGGGCTAATATGTATGTCTGCCCGATTCTGCCGATTGTTTTCGGGGGACACCAGCACTCTCCTTTTATGCTCCTTCTCTCTCTCTCTCTCTCTTTCTGGCTATCTCCCTTTGGCCATAAATCATGCCCCGCAAGAGGGGGACAGTGTGGAGTGTGGCTACTGCTTTCGTCACTAGTCCGCTAGTGCCACTGATAAGGCGTTTTTATCTAATTGATAGCCAGTTACTGATTTCACTGATTGATGTAAACGATTGAGAGGCGGTGGGAGGCGTGTGATTAATTGATTGATCGACTTCTGGATGCAGTACTCCAGCTTTGATTGACTTAAATCGGCGTCGGTGGATACCTATTCCCATCCCTCTTCCACTCCCACTCGAAAGAGGATTATTTATCCCTCGATGCCTGACATTTTTGTGCAGTTTTATGCGCTATGATTTATTGGCCAATTGCATTACCATGCCCCATCCCTTTCACTGTAATCTGTCTAAATCTCTCCCTCTCACTCCCAGTATTCCCAGAGACCTCTCCTCTCCTTCAGTCCTGTAAAAGCATGAAAATTTATCGATTTTGTTTGGCGGTTTTCCAGTTTCCGCCCCCCCCGTTACGGTCTAGCTTTGGTTTTCCCTTTCCCCTACCCGCACCCCTTTTTTGGCACTAAAAACTTTTCCCCACCTACAACCATGTGCCCTGTCTCTCTCTCTCTCTCTCTCTCTTTTTTATGTGTGTGCGTGAGTTAATTTAAGCCTCGCTTTGGCTCCTGGCTTTGGCCTCCTTCACTCCTTCACTCCTTCAGTGCTCCGTGCTCTTCCTGTTCTCCTCCATTCACTGAGGCGATAAAATTTTTATTTATTGATTTTCATTTATGTTTTCCTTCCTCATACACGCATACAGTGGGGGGGTGGGGTAACGGGGCTGCCTACTAAACAGCTGCTACACTTTATGGGGCCTCCCTCCCCCCGCCTCCCCTGTAGCCGGCGCCATCCGGCATTCTCGCTTCATCTTCAATCTCCATATAACGGTAAGCAAACGGTAACGGGAGGTGCTCATCCCTCCCACCCACTCTCCGAGAGCAATTACGTGCCGTATAAAAGCTCACCGCAAGCATTCGCTCTCTTCTTCGACTCCTCCTCCTCCTCCTCACCCTCCCCCTCCTACTTCTACCGTTTGGCATTCTCTCTTTTATTTTTTACGATTCTTCGCTCCTTCATGCGATAGTGGTGTGGGGGGGGGGGGGGGGGGGGGTATCAGGGTGTCAGAGGTTATGTCCTGGTGGAGCGGTGGGTGGCTGAAGGTGATAAACTTTTAGACGGCTCCGCTAATTGGATAACTCAAAAGTTTTGATTAATTCTCTGCGATTACAACGGAATGCGATACGATGTAAGGTCAAAGGTCAGCAGGGTCATCGATACACCCTTGTGTGTGCCAGATACCTTTGAAGTATGCAATTCACAATTATACGATAATTATGCCCAACTTATCGAGGGCTATCGAATGTTATCGCTGCGAAAAGTGACGATCAAAATGGAATTACTCCTTGGACGTCCAGTGGCCATGGATTTATTGATGTTGATCAATATTTTCTAGCAATTTTCTAACAATTTCGCAACCAACCGCCCCCTGCCTTACTTTACGGTGTGTGGACTTGGGGGGCCTTCTTTGAAGCACTATTTACATTGAAAAATTCCTATGCCAGCAGCAGAATTTTCCCCAACATTCCCTGAACATACACAGACGCATCAAATAATTGCAAAATGCCAGGAAAAGGCACAGAGGAAAATGAGAGGAGGACAGCAACAAAATTGTAATGCTGTTTGGCCACGTGTGTCTATGGCGTGTGCGTAGGGGGCGGGGGGAGGAGGGGTAAGACTACGAAAAAAGCATAATTGAAAAAAAATTAAATTAAAAATATCTGAGGGAATTTGCAAAAAGGTTTCCCACGACTCGGCACGACTGCCGCCTTCGACGCGACTCCTCCTGTTGCTCCTCCATCGATAGATACCGAGAAATAAGTGGCACTGGAACTAGGTCGTCCTCCCCTCCAGCCCCTAACCCCCTAATGCCGTTTCCTTCTGCAACTGAGGTGGAAAATGGAAAGTTTCCCCCTAGCTCCTGGGGAGCCATAAAACTGTTTCGGCCAAATGAATATGAATCGTCCAGGTAGGGGGGGGAGATCACTAGAGGAAGTGATGGCTCTCTCTATCTCTATCTCTCCAAAAGACTTTCATTAATTTGTTCAATGTTTGTGTGGTTCTACTTTCATCTTTTGGCTCGATTTGGAGAATGGAAAATGGAAAATGGAAAATGGAAAATGTACTTATGTATTTCTTTGTTGGTGGATGGATTTTAATTTCCGTTTTCCCTTACTTGACATTGCCATGAAAAGCAACGTCAATGTCATCCTAAGCGTGTGTGTGTGTGGGTGTCCTCCATCCTGCATCTCCACTCTGTCACATAGTTCCTCCTGGTGTGTGTCCAGCAGACAGCATACATACAGGATGTGCCATTGAAAACGGTATTTCTATGTTCGAAGAGACAGAGAGAAGGTCATGGCCTTCAATCATTAAATGTGAGAAACAACATGTATATATATATCGTCTGCACACGATTATTTTGACTACTGAATCCATAAAACCATAC